GGATGCCGTCAAGGTGATCCTATCGCCCCATATATTTTTATACTTTGTGTTGAGGTCCTAGCATCAAAAATAAGAAATAATGACCATATTAAAGGCATCCAATTGGAAAATATAGATATTTTAAATATACAATATGCAGATGATTCTGGGTTGATACTAGATGGTACTGAGAGGTCTCTTAAGGAATCTATCGATGAATTGAATAATTTTGCAAATATCTCTGGGTTAAAGATCAATACTACAAAAACACAGGTTATATGGATAGGCAGTAGAAAATATAGTGACCAAACTTTCCTTCCAGACTTGCATCTACAATGGGGGAAGGATAAGTTCAACTTTTTGGGTATAGATTTTTCCGTAGATTTAAGTGAGATTCCAAGAATGAATTTTGACAAAAAGATTGTTAAACTTCAAGCTCTTATTAATAATTGGAATAGACGGAGTTTGACTCCATTAGGTAGAATTAGTATCATAATGGTTTCCATTAATTTTACTTCAGCACGAGAACAGTGTCCATTAGTTAATCATATTCAACTGGGATGCCCACTACATGTGTTAACTTTCTGATATCAAGAAATGTTCAATTGTCGAGAAAACAGCGACCAAAATTTGTAAACCTTGATACATACGTTTTGTTTCCGGAGCTCATCTCTAATACCAATGCTGTTCAAATTTTCCGTATGAATCAATGGTATTGCAGAGGGTTTTCTGGTGTAATTTTTCACTTTTCTGATTTCAAACATTGTATTTGTAATAGAAACTAAACCTATACATTTTGGCGCGAATTCCCCTTTCCTATCGCATCACAAAAACCGTTTGTTATTTGATGCTCAAACCTGCCATGAAAGCAAATTCCACTATAGAAGGATTTTTTCTTCGATGTTTCCAAAATGAGTTATTTTCGAGGTTATCAACAAAGCAAGCTCATATTTACATAATTTGATATTTCAAAAATAGCAAAAGGGAGATTTTGACAACGTCTATTGTTTGTAACGTGATGTTTTCTCTTACAAGATATAGTACGAGCATTATCGACGTTTGGTTCAAAAGGCTGTTTTCAAATTCTTTTTGTAGGTAGACGATGGACAGGGGAAAAAGGCAAAAATGGTCACGTGGAACAATCCCGGAAATGACGTATCTGGAATGATAGCACGATGCGAGAAGGTCGTCAATACTTGTGAAGACGTAAGAACAAAACATGTCGTTTGATCATATGGCACACGTATGAGTAAATAGTTCAGTCTTACACTAATAACACTAGAATCACAGAATTGCTTATTGCGATTGTCTTTGTTGTTGTATAGGTTTTTATATTAATTCATCCCATCATCGACATTTATACCATTGTGAAAACCTAACGTATCACAAACACATAATATAGAATATGACAACTAGGTACATCACCTGATTGTTATGGGTTTATAACATATAATTTGTAATGAAATAAAATATACTACACACTTAATAAAACCGACACCAAACATTAACTCTAGCTTGTTGATTAATTTGGTTTCTGACATTTTCCATCTTGATACATAATATCCAGTATTTAGTAGAATACCTGAGTTTACAGATTATACCTGATAGGATTGTTTGTTTAGCTGTTGGGAGGCGAGGTGTACCAATACCACGGAAAACTGCTGTACAAGGATCCCTTCACTGGTGGTGCCTTCTTCTGGCATCAGGATTACGGGTAGGTCATACACAAAGACTCCTCCATCGTTCGCATAGTCCATTCCTCTGACGCCAGTACTAGTGGTAAATGCTATGCTTAAATCCACCGACATGCAATGTATTTCTTTAGCATAAAACTAACTGGCAAACAATGGGCAAAGACCCGTTTACATAGAGAGGGGCCAGTCATCCTCAATGAAAGCAGGAAAGCAATGTACCTCTTGACAGGGGGAAGAGTCGATCTTCTTATGAACAATAAACACAATACCCTTTATGGTTCTTGTTACTTCTAAGCGAGGTTAAGTGCGAAACAAACCCCAATTTACAGGGAGAGCGGCTAAGCGACGATCATGTTGTTCCTTTCAAAGAAGAGTTTCCACTTACATAAATGCTAAAGACAATAGCGACAAAGAATGGTATTAGAAATATCGCACAATGCAGAATCAATTCATCAAGTATAATGGTTAGATGAAAAGGAAACTGTTTTAAGTGTTTGCACATTTATAAAACGTTTAGCGTTTGTAAAAGAATATAAACCAGCAATCGCGGATACCAATATTGTGATGTCTGTACAAAGGACACTAACGCATCATATTGCTATCGAGTCTGCAAAGGGTGTTGTCCACATGATGTTTGGGGATTTCTTTGTCTGCATTTCTTTTGTTGAATTTGGAAGCAGGTTACCGTTATGATTATTTTAATTATTCTGATTAAAAGTTATAAAAAGGGATATAAATGACTTGCCCCCATTGAGTTAATTTCAGTATAATGATACAATGATGAGCATTTTCCTTTAAATACGAAAATGTCATCTCATTCAATTTATAGAACTTAAAATTAAAAGTCAAAGTTTAAATTTTCTTTTCTCAGAAGTAACTTACCAACATCCACTGTTTATTGAGTTTGAAAGTCGATGTTTATCCGCTGCTAGTGAGTATGTTCTTGGTCCATGATTATCTAGATAATTAAATCGCACATATGGTCTATGACATGGCATTAAAAACACATGCAACTTCTGACATTTTCAAAAGTACGACAATAACGATCGACTCACTAGTAAACCTATGACAATTTTAATTAGTCCAATTGTTGGATCTCTAAACTTCCTCAACATACATACCAACCTGCCATCTGTTTTTGGACAGTTAAACATTCGTCTAACTTCTTACCTACTAAGCCAGCCTTGAAATCTACGTCGTCATCATGAACTCCGATCATAATTTAAGTCTGAGGTCGTTGTATTCCGCTCTATACTTTCCAGGTACTGGTATTACAACAGTTGCCTGTTTCCCGACATGTTGACAGTGTTCATAGCCATCGACAAATGTACCCGATCGAATGGATGTCTGCAGGTACGATTCTAGTAACCAGAGAACATTTTTGATATGATGGCTATTTTGCATATTGAAAAACATTTGCCCGTGAGAGTTGTCTCTATATACTGTACCGTACACTCTCGGTGCCATAACTATCATTTAACGGTTGACAGATCCTACCCGGATCCAATAGATGTGGCCGTATTGTCCATGACGTCGTCTGCGGTCAGACTGCCGCCAACACTGAGCGAGTGTCTGCTATTGAGAAGGCCTGCCCGAAGGCCTACGTAGAGATGGAGCCAGGTAAGTGGTTTTACACCTACACAACTGTACTTTTCGCTGACCCAATGCAATGGTGCTTGTATCACTCAATGAAAACCAGGAAAAAATTAACATTTCATCTTCATTTTGTTTTGCTTCATTAACGTTTAGGTACTACTGTGGACAAAACAAGCTTTAAACACGATTTAAACAAAACAAACAATGACATGTATACTTTTTATATCCACACACATCAAATAAGTTGATAGAGTGATCATCTCTCACCGATAACGCAAAACCCGACACGTGTATATCTTCGTCCGTTGAAAAACGAAGTAACATTAAACGGTATATCTTGGAAGTTTAATAAACTATTCATTATAAAGTATATTTTGGAATTCTGATAGCATAACTTTATTTCCACTTTTGGTTTTCTTAACATGTTATATTGCAGGTGACGCATTATTCTTCCACTGTAACCTTCTGCACTCCAGTTCTGGCAATGAGAGTGCTGATAGACGTTGGGCGTACCTAATAGCCTATAACACCAGGGCGAACAACGCCTTAGTGCGCCATCACCACGCCCAGTACACGCCCCTACACAAGGTAAATCTGCCCACCCAGTCTATATAGATAATAAAGCGGTAGCCAAGCACACACCCTTACAGAGGTTGTAATAATATCCTGACGACATACATCCTTAAAGACATCAGTAAAAGCCGACATACAAAGTAGATAAACTGCAACGCAGGATAAACTCCCTCTTAAAGAGCAGTAGCCCCACCCTCGTAAACACTACTACAAAGTCTACAGAAAAATAAAAGTCATTAGTTTAGCCACTTCACAAGAAATTGGAGGCCCCGGGACGTCCATAATACACCACCGGCAATGAGCTTTACACCAATGACCTCATCTGTTCGATGTACAGCAGAGAGCATGACGTATATCTCCATACAAGGTACAGTACAGTCAGCTGCACACAATAGGCACGCCTAAACATGGTAGAGAAACTTCCATCCAGTAAACATACTACACAAGGTAAATAATATAACACACGTTCATGCCCAGGGGTGTTAAATAGGGAAATTTCAGCCGAGGGTTTCGCCAAATTTGAAATTCCCGAGGATAGGAAAAATCCACCCTCGGGGTTTTTAAATTTGGTAAAACCCAAGGCCTTGCCTTCCCTTTTCTACATCCTTTGGCATGAAAGAGCATTTTTCTCTCATTCCAACTTCCAGAATAAGCTCAGAAGCCTTGAAAATGCGTTTGAACTGGCTACCATTTTGAAAAAATCAATGCTTTTTTGACGAAAACGAATCTGTCAGTGAGAGTAAGCTTGCTCTATATTTCTAAACAGAGTTTGCGCCGAAAAAATAATCTCATATTTTTAACGTGTACGGCAAATATATCGTAAAAGGTTTTCATTTCATCAAGTCGCCTTTTCCGCATTGCGGCATCGTAGTTACCCAAATTCTTGACATCACGTCATTGTTGAGCTATTGTGACGTCACGTCACGTTACATGGGTTGTAAGAAATGTTTATTACTCCTTTCTTACACTGGACAGCTACATATATGTATATCTTACAAACACGTATATGAGAGAATACTATAATGTTATGGGTGTGGTCCGTGGACAGGGATATCTCAACCCTCGGATACAAAATGTAAGAACTCGGCTTTCGAGTGGTGGACAGCCAAACTCTTATTCGAGGGTTGAGATTTCCCTGTCCACGGATCATACCTATGTTTGATTCTCTCCCATACTCGAAATAAACATGCCAGTGTCAATACTCCGTGACCTTCACATGCTTGTATTCAATGACCCATATGAATGCAATTATATGTTAATTCTATAGATGTGATGAACCCTGAACATAAAATCAGAAATCCATTAAAAGCACAACGTTAACAATGGGTTTTTTTTATTTAATAATCCATCAACAGTAATATATCAGTTAATATATCGTATAATAAGTACAGAATTAATAAAAATTTAACAGTCAAAACAACAGATCTATTTCAAACGCCGACGTCATTTGGCGCACTTGCCTGGCGGAAATAATTCCATTCATCAGTGACATCATCGCGCGTGTAGGCCGAGGAAACGACCGGTTTATCTATTCACGGGTCAATTCCTGTCTTTCACGGGCACGTATGGAAGAAATCTCCATCCAAAAGAGACCTCCTAAAAAATTAAGTAAATCACATCAGGTAGACAACAATACACTACAAAAAGGAAATCCTCCTTGTAGAAAAATTCAACACAAGAAAAAAAATCCCACCTAGTAGATTCTCATCCAAATGGTAGAGAAATTCTACCATACTAAGCACGTGAACTCTCGCTTTTGCTAGGGGACATCCTGTCCTTACCAGGTTGTCATTTATTACACAACACATGATTATACGACAAATAATTAAATACATATATACATTCATATAACAAACTACATAACTATGTTTGGCGAAAGGGGCAACTCAGTTACTACAAAATAAACTAAATATCCTTCTCCTGGATTTTTCGTCAGAAGAAGAATAGCATGTAGTGTCCAGTTAAATATCATCATCTTTAAAATCTAGCGGACCGCCAACAATGCAGTGTTGGAACAGTTCTTGGCTAGAGCTACTGATGAGTATGACAGAAGAGGATAATAACTGGACATCATGTATATTGTAATGAGCTATACCCCATCACGGTGTAGCTTGCTGAGCCACCAGGTCCGGATGAGGAATAGGTGTCAGTATGGTTAAACAGATATATAGATAGATGATCATCCCGTATTACACTATGCCTCATCTCGGTGCAGCTTGATGAGCTACCAGGTCCGAATGTATAACTAACGTCAGATGTGTTCCATTATTATAGTATATGATTAACTAGCAAAGATTGTATTTCATTAGTTTTATTTACAACAATAGTATAGAATGAATGTCATAGATATATATACGTCACAGTCATGTTCATTTCAATCTAAACAGTTACAACCATTGTTATGATTTTTATCCACAGGTGCCTGATAGTGCCGTTAAGGATTGCACTAATTACAGTGATTTCTCTGGAAAGGATTTCATGGACCCAACCAACCTAGATTTGCCAGAAAACGCTCTTCTCAAAACACAAGCCAAGTGTGACAAGTAGACGCTGACTGCTGAGATCAGATTATAAATAATGGTCGTTTTCGTTTCGTTAATAATTGTGAACTAACATATGGTCGGTTATTTACTGCAAGTAGCTATAAGTACAGTACATAAAAAAGAGTAAATCATGAATATAAAAACGGTTATCCTTATGAATATGGCAAGCATTTCATAATAAATATATATGATATAGAGTACTACGAGTTACATTTCATTTTAAACATTAAAACATAAGTGCTATATGATTTCAAGTATAATTTTTTGCTTTGTTATAAGTCCTGAGATTGGTTTATAAGATGTGATCATAGTACGGAATTGAAACAAGAACACCGCACAGTCTGAGTGGTGCCAATTATCAAGGCCCTGAGTGCTGCAGGGTTCAAATTCCGATACATAATGTTCATCTCAGGACACAGAAGCGACAAAAGGCTTCATACGAGTTTAGTTTACCTGTCGTCATGACAACAACCACTACGTGTGTGTCAACACGGGCTGTTCACTGTCGCTTTAAATCTTGTTCCACTGAATCAAACTGAAACATTCTATCAACAAAAGTGTCAAAAACACATCTGAATCACGTCAGGAGAACGATTATGATATATACTGTTACAATGTATAAACACGTACCTGAAGCACGGCGAGTGGAAGGTTGTTTTAAAAATACACAGGGATCATTAAAGAAGAAAGACTGATAATATTTAAACACATGAGGCAAGTCAGTGGTAAGATTAACACCACGATGTTAGGGGCTCCTTTTTCTGATTGGACGTGCAAAGGCCTGGAGCCACCTGCTCGACCACGTGGGTTTTCTTCGAGTTCTCCAGTTTCCAGCCGGATAAACGTACAATAAAGCAAAATAAACAAATGTGGTACTTAAAGTTGAATAGAACACGGTAAAATAATTTGACCGATTATGATATATATCGTAAACGAATTTGGTATCCCCGTAAAAAGAGAAGGATAAACGAACTTGAAGCTCCACGGAAACAAAACAGCAATGTAAAAGAATTGGATACTCCACGTAAAAAACAGAACAGAAAAAACGAATTCGGTCCTAGATACATATTACACAGAAACTGGACAGCATACATCAGGTATCTCCAAACGCTAGATACGAGCCGGACACCGTGTAAGATACATATTACACAGAAACTGGACATCATACGTTAGGCACTTCCGAACGCTAGATACGAGTTGGAAACCCTGTGTAAGATACATATTTATACAGAAACTGGACATCATACGTTAGGTATCTCCAAACGCTAGATACTAGCAGGACACCCTGTGTAAGATACATATTTACACAGAAACTGGACATCATACGTTAGGCACTTCCGAACGCTAGACACGAGTTGGAAACCCTGTGTAAGATACATATTTATACAGAAACTGGACATCATACGTTAGGTATCTCCAAACGCTAGATACTAGCAGGACACCCTGTGTAAGATACATATTTACACAGAAACTGGACATCATACGTTAAGTACCTAAGAACAATAGAAACGAACTGGACACCTTTTGTACGATACATATTACACAGAAACTGGACATCATGCGTTAAGTACCTAAGAACAATAGAAACGAGCTGGACACCTTTTGTAAGATACATATTACACAGAAAACTGGACATCATACGTTAAATGACCGCCAAACGCTAGATATACGCAGGACACCTTGTGTAAGATACAGATATATGTTACCCATACGGCTACATGCTATGGACGAAAATGAAAATACCTGTCGCAGTTTTACGAATTTGATCACCCCTGTTTTTTATTATATTGACCACTTTCCCAAAAGAGGGCCACTCTTTTGTCATATACTATTTGTTTTTGCATATTTAAGAGTTGATCCTCGGATGGGAAAGTGTTGATAGAATTAAGTCTAAAGCCTGTCTCACACAGAACACACGACTTATACGGTTGGCCAACCGTACATACAACCGAACCAACCGTGGCCTTATCCGAGTTACACTCGGGCCATTCGAGTGTATCCGTGAAAGCCGTGTATGATTTTTAAAACTTTTAAAAAACTGGCACGGGTGCCATGTCCGTGTATGATCGTGTTAGCGATCGTACAAGACCGTGAGAGACCGTGTGAGACCGTACGAGACCGTATATACAACCGCAATGAAGTCCACTCCACGAGTGAGCTCAACCGTGTCAATATCGTATATAAATCGTATGGAACAAAAGTCGGTGGGACCGTATGTAAACCCTGTAAATGTCCGGTTAATCGAGTAAAAGTCGTGTTTAATCGTACTAGGCCGTAACAGACCGTACTAGACCGTACTTGGAACCGTACAACAATCGTATGAAAATCGTTTGCAAATCGTGTTCAAACCGTGACAAACCTTGCTTGACCGAGTATATCCGTGCTTTGTTCGTACATACTCGTGCTACATTCGAGTCTAAATCGTACTAACTCATCCCCAGGCACGGTTGGAGCTCAATACTCGTACCAGTCAACCCGTGTATAACCGAGTATACCGTATTGGAACCGTGTGCCCAACCGTGTTCTGTGTGAGACAGGCTTAAGAAACCCCGTCACTTTCATAGATATTGACTTGCAGTATTATATTATCTCAACAGTTCGAAAATTCATATTCAATAGGTTTTATATCCATTCCATGCATTTTTGCTATTAAAAATTATTCACTCGTTAATATTTTTTTCCGTTTTCATAACTGCCGGCTCAGTGAAATATGGGCAGTTATCCACCATAGCTCTTCAGTATCTCATTGCAGTATTGATATAAAGAGGCATGTGGCAATGTTTATTTTGTATCTTAGAGATACAGCATCACGTAAACTACCTGATTACAATGTATGCATTATATGTTCTAAAGTTCAAATTCCAACTATGCATCCAACTTATCTAATAGTAATAGAAACTGGGTTAGGTCACACATTATGATATGTTCCTGTTCAAATACATCTACACATAAACTGCTGTTTGAGTAAACATTGCTCTGTACGTGTAAGAACACAAATGTGTGGACAATAAATATATCCGCGACGGCAATGGTTAACAGCAACAGTAACAATGACAAACATTCAGACAAGTTTATGTGATCGTCCACAAAGAAGGAATTTTCCATTTGAAGTAGACTATTAATCACTATATCATATGAACGTAGCACGTAATTAGGTGATATAACCTTCACAATTTGGTAATTATAAAATCCATGATGTAAATATCAATTAATGATGCACTAAGACTATCGACTCGAATACAATCTAAGTGTTAAGTTGTGATTGTTTTAAACTTTTGTAAGAAGATAGTATGTTTATACATCTTTTTAATAATCTTTTGTCGAACTTAATTGATGTAAATTAAGTAAGCATAAAATATTACATTTATTAACCTTCTCTTTCCTTACAAATATTCAGGTTGATATTCTCCATCGGGACAGCATAGAAGCTTACTCCATATCCATGATCCTTGAGGAGGCCTGTTTCCTGAAACCTCTTTCGTAGGGTTGTCATCTCCTCCTGGTCGAGCAAGCCCCTGTACGCTATAGCACAGCCGTCAAAGTTAACCTGTCACCATTGTGTGTTCACTATGGCAGTTGTTACTAACCCATCATTTTTACTCATTTAAAGTTGGGAAGATCCAAATGGTCTAATGGTGTAAGGATTTCTTCAGGTATATCGATAACCACTATAAATATGTTATTCACATACCATAATTGTGATGTTTCGTACATGTATTTGGCGCCATTACAGCTGTGATGAGAATATTCTTGCAATATTGGTCTCTATTTCAATATTTAATATAGATAATGTTGTTTAGTACTGTTCTCTGTTACAAGCTTTATATAGTAATTTAAAAATAAAGATTATCATAAATAATGAATAACCCCAACGATGTTGCTGAACGCTTACTTCACTAGGATATATCCCTGATCATCGAAGTTCCTCTTCATAGCCTCCGTCACCCGGACCTCTTCCGGTGAGAACGAATACACTGTATACAGAATAGCAGGGCTTTGTGATCAGCTTTAACATTAATGTGTTAAGTCCTAACGTAAAAGTTTTTTTAAATGTTATAAAAGACGTCTATAACATTATTATAATTACTATCCTGTTGATATCTTATAGCATACACATATCTATAATACAGAACAAATGTATTATACTGTATTTACAAACATACAATATATAATGAAATAAGGTGTTGAGGGTTGGTGTGTCTTTCATCATTCGAAATCGAAATGTGAATCTTAGATATTTGAGTTATGCTTGATCAATGGTTACAAAATATCCCCATTAAACGTAAGTTCAAAGCAAAAAAAAAGTGTAGAGAGATTATCCATAGCCAACTATGTTCTTAATATTGTCAAACTTACCGCTGGTCATTGTCGACATCATAAGGTTTGGTAGTTATATTACATGTCTCAGTGAGTATCAGAGAGAAGCTGGAACCATTGCAGAGCAGGTTTACACTAGAAACACAATTAAAACATCAGATAAACACTAAAATCAGTCAGCCATAACATACCAAGCAAACATACCCAACCGTATCGTCAAAGCCTGGTATGGCGTCAGAGTGCTTGAGAAATGGAGGACAACTTCATATTGAGAAAAGATTAAAAAAATTCCATCTGGATAAACGGACGGGTGAACCGATATTTACGTCAATGTCTCACGGCCGTGCAGTGAACGTTGTCTTTACACAACTTGTTGGCATATGGCAGAACATTCTTATCAAACCTGTATCATTAAATATTGGATTTTTCACGTTTGAAATATAAGGTATTGCAGTGAAAATGAATTTGATATTTTTTAAATGGGGCAAATTTAACCTTTTATTACTCTTTTGCCAGTGAAATATCGGATTCTATCAACTTGATAAAACTGATCTCTTTCACACTGTGACAAATATCAAAAGTGTCAAAATATCACATTTTGGTATTGACCAATCATAACGGTATCTTATAGTCCCTGCATTCAAAAGCGATGATGTTTTGTTCAGACTCAAATGAAGCGACGGTAGAATAAGTGGTTGTTATGGTAAATGTTTGGTACACATACTAAACTATTTACATAAATATACAATTAATAACATTTTTATAAGCAAACATACCAGAAAATAGCAGAAAGCGTCGGAATTGCGTTGAGTATCCCATTCAAAATGGCGCGCAGCCTTGCTGTCAAGCGCGGCGTCATTAGAATATGGCGCTAATTATTACGCTTCTGATTCCCGCCCTTTAAATGCATTACATTTTTCATATTCTTGGCTTTAAAAATGTGATAAATAGAAAAATTAATGGTGTTATTAGTAATAACAACTATATTTCACTCGTGTGGCTAATATCAAAATATTAGCCACATCCGTGAAATATATTCGTTATTACTGAATACATCATTAAATACCCTCTATTTTCACACTAAATCGACCAATCAGAGAGCGGGGTTTAGTGTGAAAAATAACAATCAATGGGCATTGTCAATTGTGACGTCACTGCCCTCTGACGTATTCTCATTGTGATGTCGCTCTACAGCATTCCTAGTTGCAATATTTTTATCGAGAGATTGGTGATCTTTTCACTACTTTCAATGTCTTATCCCTTATAAACCTAATAGTCTTCGATTCTACTCTTTGTGCTGAAATGTTTTTCACATATTTCAATCGTTCTACTGCGTACATTTTTTCATTTTATCATAAAGGTATTTTTTTTAGTATATTTTTGTCACTGAGACTTATATATTTTATTTAAACGTGATTAAATGTATAGCTTTTACAATTTTAGCCTTACATTCCTATCCTGTGTACTTCATCCATACCTGACTCGCCTGCAAATCGGGACCATGCCGTTTATGTCTCGGTGAGTATGGCCTTTTTTTCTATTTTATGGTTTATTATCCCGAATACAATAGGGAATACCAGGATGAGGCCTGGCCTAACCCCTGTACATAGTACATGAAGTCATTCTCTGACTCTCTCTATTTTGTACGTTCATCTTCCTCCATTTTTTCTCTTATTCATTCTCTTTCTTTCTACTCAATATCTCTTACATTGATTTTTATTTCAATTTGCAAAAATTGACTGTAACTTATTCCCCAATTGTTGTTATCTTTTAACGCTGTCAATTGCATTGATTGTAAACCTTAGTTCTTATTTTAATCACTTCAAAAAATGATGTGTGAAGTCAGCAACTACATATTCGTCATCAAATTTTATCTATTTTTTTCTTTCCATATGTGCCACTTTGTAATAAAGACAAACAGATTGATTATTGCATTATATTCTTGATTTAAATTATAGCTTCCTAACATTACAACTTTCTCAGTTATTTGGTATATTTTATTTGAATTTGATATTTCCTGTAAGGCTTTGTTTATTAATGAGTTAACTGTCTTCCAAATTTCTGTTTTTTATTACATTTATAGAATAAATGAAATCGATTTTCTTGAACTTACTGACAAAGTGTACAAAAAATATTTGACAGTCTCATTTTAAACAATTTGGAAATAATATTATGTAAGCATTTCTATTGGAAGTCTTTACATTTCCTGTTTGCTATAGAAGATCTTAAAGAAGTCTAAATTTTAACCCAGTCTATGTCATTATTTTGATATACAGCATCCCAGCTATTTTGTGATTTGGGATAATAGTTCTTATTCGAAATTAGTTCTTTCAATATTTCATTCTTTAATCTATTCGGATTTATAGCTTCACCTTTTTCATTTGTTTTAATGTGTAGTTATCAGTTACAACTATGGGTTCAATTTCTGGAATCTCATGGTTAATTGATTTTAGTTCTTGTAACCAATTGGTACATGAAGAAAACGCCTTCTTGACTATGGAGAATTCTGAAATCCAGTTACCTTTGAATCGTAACTTAACAAATAATTCTTGAGAATTTATAAAATATTTCTTGCTTCACTCCATATGTCTTTTATTTTCATTATATTTGATTTTATGTCTCGGTGAGTATGGCTGACAGACATCAATACATGAATACTGACAAGATGCTGACGAGATATGGAGATGACCAATGGAGTGAGTCTGCCGACACTGTCCCCGTGTTATCACACAGTTCATCGACGACAATGACACATAATGTCTCGAGATACATACAATCCGTGGCAGAGGCAAGTCAAATTGATAGACAATACTGAATGGTCGTCAAAATCAATGTCACGACAATATGGCCGTATGTAGGTTACCAATGATTCGTTACCATGGAGACACAAAAATCGTATTGTAAGAAGAAAGGTTATAATGCAGGTAGTGTAAATCATTTTGACATTAACAAATACTGTAAAATAACTTATTTTCGTGGCGTTTTACAATTTCGTTGATTTCGTTGGTAATTTTCATCAACGAATTCATAGGTCCACAAAGTAATTACAACTTTGACAAAATCGTATTCCATGAATTCATGTACCCACGAAGTTGGGTTGTTTGGGAAACCACGGGATCAGGGATCAACTAGACTATCTGATGATGCAGTACTATATGTGGTTTTTTATTACTTTACTAAACAATAATATAAGGCGTTTAATAGATTCAAAGCTAATTTAATCATCTGTTGTGTGAACAAAATATTACATGAATTATACTAGTCCATTACATAAAATACTGTGTAATATTTGTGATGGAAATATATCTTAGTATTATGGGAGCTCACCAGAGTCATAGTCAACGTCATGCTCACCAGGGTCATAGTCAGCGTCATGCTCACCAGGGTCATAGTCAACGTCAAGCTCACCAGGGTCATAGTCAACGTCAAGCTCACCAGGGTCATAGTCAGCGTCATGTAACATGAACAGGCGTGCTGTTATCTGGTAGGGCTGAGATAGTATAATAATTATATCAAACTTTAACAGAATGTGATAAAACTATCAGCTGAAATAACGATAGGGCCTACATAACCTGATATCATAATGCAACGTCTATTTTTCACATTTGGTTTGTTTTTGAAGAAGTTCGTTTCTGTCTGGGCTAGTTGGGTCCAAGAAACCCTTACCAGTGAAATCATTGTAATTCGTGCATTCCCTTACAGCACTGTCCGGCACCTGTGGATACAAACTTATGGCGATAAACATGTAGCATACGGAAAATAATCTTACATACGAGGAACAATATACTAGTGATAATAAAGCATATAAAACAAGTACGTTAAGATTTATTTTGATTCAGAATGGAAATTATACTGATTTTAATGAACACATCTTACACGTATTACAATACTGATACAAAATGGAAATACATCAGGTTGCACTTTAAATGCAATATACTGATTTCAATGAATACATTTCAAATGTGTTAAGATATATTGACGCTAATCAAACACATCTTGTGTTATAATTAAATAAATGAAGAACGTGATATAGCTGTTATAATGAGATTTATGAGGCATATCTTACATCTGATATAATCTATAGGGAAACGTTTAATATTTTTACAATCATTATGGGTTAAATGTTGTGCTGGGGTGTGTACTTAGTGGGGTTTTCTTTACCTTGTTTAGTGGTGTATTTTATTCTATTGTGTAGAGTGGTGTACAGAAGTTTGTATATTGGTATATACTGGGCAGGAATGCTCCGTATACATGCACCTTTGTAGTTGTGTACTAGCATGAACGGTATCTGTGAGCTCGGTTGTGGTGTATTGTATCATATATTCCGATATAAAGTAGGTGGGATGATTATTACCTTGTGTATAAGTATATACTGAGTGTGGTACACTACACATTCAAGATCAACATGAACGATTTCCCTATCGCGAACGTTCCCTTTATTGATAGTAACATCCCTATAGGAAGTTCATAGGTCGCACTTGATTCTACATTCATGGCGTTGCTTCTAATATCATGACTTCTGTGACGAATGTCTTATGCTGACAGACTAACTTATAACACAGTGTTTGGATATATGAGGATTAAAAGGGCAAGTCGACGCAATCATGATTGCATTTGAAAACATTCTATTTCCTTTTGTAATATGAATATCGTTTGTCTATGTCCATAAGTGTGAATTGTGGTTTTGATATCAATACCCTGGTTCTTACTTTGAACCCGTGTCATTAACTGAACTTGATCCAGATGTAAATATGATGTCATCAATGACACTGAAGACGCTTATTGTTCTTGGAGACACATTGCCTTTTGCTTCGTACATTTAAAAAACGATAATCTCCGTGGAAATATTTCCTTTGTTCATAGTTTGCCCTGGTTTTGAGACCTAGTTAAGGGTTTATTTTTCTTTCGAGTGGTTTTAATTTTTGTGTATAGTAATTTAATGGTCTGGAAATACTGTACCTCGAACATCAGTATTGATACATTTGTAGATATATGGTGGACTGTACTGTACCTTGTGCAGTCACGTATATTTGTTGTGGTGCTCTGTGAGCTATCCTTTGCTTAACACTAGAGGATATACCATGGGGGAATGTAATGTTCCTTATTAGAGGGATATACTAGGTAGATATTACTGTTATTTGTACATAATTTATCCTGATTTACCGAAAAAAATACTTTGTTTGTTGTTTACCTTGTGTAGGGGTGTGTACTGTGCGTGGTGATGTGGAACTAAGGGGTTGTTCGCCTTAGTGTTGTAGGCTATCAGGTACGCCCATCGTCTGTCAGCACTGTCATTGCCAGAACTCGTGTGCAGCAAGTTACAGTGGAAGAACAATGCATCACCTGCAACATACATCTTGTAGTTACACTTCATGCATATATGTTTCCCTATCAGTACTAATTATGCGACGTTTCAATATTAGCAATGTTTGAAATTTCGTTTATTAATGGAAGTAAATATAAAGTTCAGAGTTACTGGTATAAACCGTTTGCTATGTATATAATAATACGGATAAATAGAGCGTCAAATAAAAACGTGATTTAATAACTTTCATTTCTCATAATTCTGAAATTGATGAACCGAAATAAAATAAAGATGAAGAAAGATTATATTGCTTTAGCGACAATTCTTGATGTGTTAACATTAACCTGGGTCCATCTCTACGTAAGCCTTGGGATAGACAGTCTCTATTGCACACACCCTCTCAGTGTTGGCGACGGTCTGACCGTGGACGGCGTCATGGACAATGCGACCACATCTGTGAGAACCGGGCAGGATCTGTCAACGACCGAAGGTCATGTATAGAGTGTTTCAAAAGACATGTGGAGCTGTTACATCTGTATAAAGGTACACCAATTACGTGGTCATTTTTGATACTGTACGTTGCAAAAGTTATCCCGTTATATAACGGCTTACCTGCAGACATCCATTTGATTGGGCGCACCTGTCGATGGCTATGAACACTGTCAACATGTCGGGAAACAGACAACTGTTGTGATACCAGTACCTAGGAAGTATCAAGCGGAAAACAGCAAATTATTAGTTGTTAGAGACATACAGAACGTTGATATTTACAGTTGTTATATTTTCAACAGTGAACTAACATAAATTATTAGCGTAATAAAATCTTCAGTTGTTATGGTGGAAATGAAAGGGACATATTCTGCCAAATGGCTTTTAAACAGTCCTACAGTCATGGTGTGACATGGTTCTGTAAGAATGGCTATTAAAATGATCAGTATTCAATGATTTAGTACTTGTACAGCAATAACCTTAATCTTAGTATCAAAGGAAGAACTCAATAGTCATGTTGTCAGCAGAATGATTCCCCTCCCTATGAAGGGATCTGTGTACATCCTGTTCGTTGTTTACACATAAAGCAGGTGTCAAAGAAAAACACAACATGTAAAGGAATGTAAAATATGTTTAAAATAGTGACAGTAACACGAAGGACTCCCCGCGGAATGGTTAGGGTTAGGGCTAGTGTAACCCTAACCAAGCGTAACCCTAACCCAGTGGAAGGACAATCCCCTGGTGGAGCAGTCTTTGTATATCACTTATCCGTAGTCCTGATACCAGTGGAAGGACAATCCCCTGGTGGAGCAGTCTTTGTATATCACTTACCCGTAGTCCTGATACCAATGGAAGGACAATGCCCTGGTGAAACAGTCTTTGAATATCACTTACCCGTAGTCCTGATACCAGTGGAAGGACAATCCCCTGGTGGAGCAGTCTTTGTATATCACTTACCCGTAGTCCTGATACCAATGGAAGGACAATGCCCTGGTGAAACAGTCTTTGAATATCACTTACCCGTAGTCCTGATACCAGTGGAAGGACAATCCCCTGGTGGAGCAGTCTTTGTATATCACTTACCCGTAGTCCTGATACCAATGGAAGGACAATGCCCTGGTGAAACAGTCTTTGAATATCACTTACCCGTAGTCCTGATACCAGTGGAAGGACAATCCCCTGGTGGAGCAGTCTTTGTATATCACTTACCCGTAGTCCTGATACCAATGGAAGGACAATGCCCTGGTGAAACAGTCTTTGAATATCACTTACCCGTAGTCCTGATACCAGTGGAAGGACAATCCCCTGGTGGAGCAGTCTTTGTATATCACTTACCCGTAGTCCTGATACCAATGGAAGGACAATGCCCTGGTGAAACAGTCTTTGAATATCACTTACCCGTAGTCCTGATACCAGTGGAAGGACAATCCCCTGGTGGAGCAGTCTTTGTATATCACTTACCCGTAGTCCTGATACCAATGGAAGGACAATGCCCTGGTGAAACAGTCTTTGAATATCACTTACCCGTAGTCCTGATACCAGTGGAAGGACAATCCCCTGGTGGAGCAGTCTTTGTATATTACTTACCCGTAGTCCTGATACCAATGGAAGGACAATGCCCTGGTGAAACAGTCTTTGAATATCACTTACCCGTAGTCCTGATACCAGTGGAAGGACAATCCCCTGGTGGAGCAGTCTTTGTATATCACTTACCCGTAGTCCTGATACCAATGGAAGGACAATGCCCTGGTGAAACAGTCTTTGAATATCACTTACCCGTAGTCCTGATACCAGTGGAAGGACAATCCCCTGGTGGAGCAGTCTTTGTATATCACTTACCCGTAGTCCTGATACCAATGGAAGGACAATGCCCTGGTGAAACAGTCTTTGAATATCACTTACCCGTAGTCCTGATACCAGTGGAAGGACAATCCCCTGGTGGAGCAGTCTTTGTATATCACTTACCCGTAGTCCTGATACCAATGGAAGGACAATGCCCTGGTGAAACAGTCTTTGAATATCACTTACCCGTAGTCCTGATGCCAGTGGAATGATCCTCCAGTGAAGGGATCCTTGTAAATCAGTTTTGAATGGTAGTGGTAAACTTCACCTCCAAGAAGCTGTACAACATATCAGACACAGTGTGTGAGATCAAGTAATATTTTGTTACACATACTAGTATATATTCCCTCTAGTATTAAACTATTCATAAACAAAAATCTTGGGAAAGAGTACACACTATATCAGACATGGTTAAATGTGTTTACCGCACGATCTGCTATATTTCTAGATGTAGATAAACAGAAGAAATGTAGAACAATGAAACAACGTGAATTACCGAGCTTCAAATTTTAAAATGTTTTAGGCTGAAATAAGTGTAAGGTGTATTCGATTTTCCTCATATTCTGCTTTAAAAAATAAAAAAATAAAGGAAGAGACAGGTAACCAAATGATTCTTTTATATATTCAATTTCTGTCCAATTTAATGTCTTAACAAGAATATAACTGGGAATGATGGGATCAACTAATGTACATCAATCGCGATAAGTAATCTGGGATCCTAGCTTTATCTGTATAAGCTGATATAATTGACTCGTATATGTGCACTGTACCACGTGATCAAGCGATTGGTTTTGATCTTACGTCTTCACAAGTATTGACGACCTTCTCACAACGTGATATCTGTCCAGATACGTCATTTCCGGGATGGTTCCACAACAGCATTCTCACGTTCTTTCCCTGTCCATCAGCGACCTGAAAGTAGAAGTCATACACAGTGTGGGATTTGTACATTTTATTATTTTGAGAATCTCTTTCTGGATCAAATTTTGTCGAAATTTATCACCAATCAATAAACATAATTAGGAATTAACGTTCGTATTTTTGTCTTTCCTACAGATGTGTTTCTCCCACGACACAGCACCTAGACAACTTACTGTATACCCGTGATCTTTGATGACGTCTGTGTTTTCAAACACCGTCCTTAGGTTTTTCATTTCCTCCGTGTCGAACAACCCTCTGTAAGTTAAAAAAAAATGGTATTTTTTCTTTTACATGTATATTTGTTTCTAATGTATTTTCTATTTGACTGTTTTACTTATGCAACACTATAAATTCATCTAAAGTTACTGAGATATAAAATTATAATGCTGTAAGGGCTAACGAATTGAGATTAAGTGTAATAACATAGAATTATCGCGAAGCATGTGACACCTTATTTTTGATGTAAGAGGTGTTACGTGTCGGTCACTATTATAATACCTGGCATGAGAAAAGTCATGTCAAATTTGTCTTCATATCAATATCATATACGTAAAATGTTTGTATATATTTTAAGTTGTATATCGTTTAACTTGAAAGTATTGAAAACATGGTTATATTGCCGATAACTATTGATTTCCTGACAGACTAAGCTAATCCAAATGATATTACTGAACACTTGCTTGACTAGGATATATCCCTGGTCATTGAAGTTCTTCTTCATATCCTTCGTCACCCGGAAACCCTCCGGTTTGAACGAACACACTATGTAAAGAAGAAATGTTACATACATACTGCATATACTAGACTAAGTTGTTGATTCTCTTAAATACGAGTCTGTTATATTTCATGTATTAAGTTTGTCCCAAATATAATCCGTATTAAATTTAGGCTTTTCATACAATTTCCAAATCGATATGCATCATCCCTGATATTTAAATTATACATTATCTTTGGGATTACATTATCCACATATGACTTGAAAAAATGAAATAGCAAGTAAAGATAATTTAATCCTAGCCAACCACAGTTGTAAATATTATTTAACTTACCGCTTGTCAGTTTTGCCATCACAGCGGTTTGTAGTAACGCCTGAAAATACAATAATACTTTCTTTGTTCCACTTGTCTCCGGATTGCCACACTATAATCTACCTCTATTTGTATCTGCTTCAAATACATCAGGAGTTAACAAGACGTCAATTATCTCGAATGTTATGTATTACGCCGTACACTTTTAATACTCCTAAACAATTGAGTTGAATTCAAATTAATTTTTGATCAAGTTTTATTTTACGTTTCATCAAACAGCCAAATTCAATCATTCATCACGCAGTCAACCCGTGCTCTTCACTAAATAGCATTATTTATGGTTCGGGTTTCAAAAGGAAAAGGATTTTTTGAGAAAGTATGAAAATGATCCAATCCATCCTTGAATTTCTTTATCAGTTTACCACATAGCCAACCCCTACCCTTTATCACAAAACTAACACCTCTCCTACATCACACACTAACCCCTACCGTTCATCACACACTAAACCCTACCGTTCATCACATACTAACCCCTACCGTTCATCACACACCAACCCCTACCGTTCATCACACACTAACCCCTACCGTTCATCACACACTAACCCCTACCGTTCATCACACACTAACCCCTACCGTTCATCACACACCAACCCCTACCGTTCATCACACACTAACCCCTACCGTTCATCACACACTAACCCCTACCGTTCATCACACACTAACCCCTACCGTTCATCACACACCAACCCCTACCGTTCATCACACACTAACCCCTACCGTTCATCACACACTAACCCCTACCGTTCATCACACACTAACCCCTACCGTTCATCACACACCAACCCCTACCGTTCATTACACACCAACCCCTACCGTTCATCACACACTAACCCCTACCGTTCATCACACACTAACCCCTACCATTCATCACACACCAACCGCTACCGTTCATCACACACCAACCCCTACCATTCATCACATACTAACCCCTACCGTTCATCACACACCAACCCATATCGTTCATCTCACAACAACCCCTAACGTTCATCTATTAATCATGATGACGAAGAAAGAAAGATTACCATTTAACTTTTCCTATTGTTCACATAATATAGCATGTAAAAGGAGAGATTATCCTCTTGTTGACACTAATAATAACAATGTTTATCTATATTAGATAATGGATATGATTCAGATTTACATTTGTACCTTTTCAATATACAGAAAACAGAATAATGTCAAGACAAAGATTCTGACTAGGATACATATAAAACCATAATACATTTGCTAAAACAATAGATACAATACTGCTTACCCCAACTATGGATAGAGGGTGCTGATCAACATCTTGAAATGAGGACACGAGACATGGCAATCGATGTGATCTGACCTGACCAAGGCCTCGGCCTCGGTCAGGTCAGATAATCGAGATTGTCAGCTCACGGGGATTTTATGTTACATGTTTCTAGTAAACACTCAAAATAGTATCTTATCTGTATAGATTACATCCAGGGATTAGATAAATGTATTGTTGCAAAACAATGTTCCTGAAAAAATCAGCAATGGTAGTATATTCCTGGTACATTAAACATACCTGACATTTCATAAGTTCTTGCAGATGAAGACTCATCGACAGAGACGTCGCTACCACGATGATTTTTCTTGCTATGTTGAGATAGTAACGTCTGCCATCTCTGTCTTGTTTAGCCACACAATCGCAAACTTTCATGGCCCACCTGTTCTACTATAATATGTTGATTAGCATGTGCATCTATAACAGAATTGTTGGGTAAGTTTGATACAGTAGCAGGTGGTTGTGTAGTAACAGACTGGGTCTTGGGTTTAAATACTGACTGTAAAACATTGCACATTTCATGTTATTTTATTCAACATTTCTAGAATAACTATTAATTGACGACTCAGACTTATGTCCACTTACACTCATTATGTGTCTGGCTTCTACCCCACTTTGATCCAGACTAGTTATGCACGAGAGAGTCCTGCTTTCACAGATATGTTCCTCGTAAAACTTCCCAATGTGTTGTGGCCAACAGGAGAATTGTCATACCCTATTCCAACATAACTGCTAACATGCCGCCTAGGCTGCTGCAAAAATGCCTCAATATTTGGGTTAAGCCTTTGTAAATGTTTTTCCAGTGAGGAAACAGGACACTTTTCATCGCCTAAAAAAGAAACACATTCCTGAAACTTGTGCTGATCATAGATGAACAATACTGCATAAATACACGTTTCACAGCTTTAATGCACTGCTTTGTATTCGAGCTGTCTCTGTTTTCGTGCAATTGTTGAAGTTCGTCGCTGGAAAATGAAGAAAATCTCTCTCTGTATACAAAACCGAAAAGGGTCAAGGCAGCAGACGACGAAAACAACCGTGACGTTATATGATCCGAGTGAAGCGGAGGCCTTTAGTCCGTTTCAAAATAGGGCCGCCACCTTGAATGGCAGCCAGTCATATCAAACGGCCATTAAAAATGATGACCGGTAAAATTATTACTTAAGAGATTCATTTCAAGTCATAGGTTGAAATTTGATGTTTCATTTTGAATGGAGGTATACTGAGTGATATGAGTACAGATAAGGTACTGGGACATAATTAACCATGGAACATGTTGGACAAGATAAGGGATCACCTGTTACTTTCATAGAAAATGTTAGGTTGAACATGTGCTTTCGTTGTGTGGTAGCCACGTGCTGTTGCTGTTAAATAAACCACATATGTATATACACAACTGGCCAATGTGTCTTGTACAGTTTGATTGACAGGCGATTATATTTCTATGGTGAATGATTTTAGAGCGGAATATAGGTACAAGTTGTGCTACATTTTAGTTAATATTGTGATAGAACCAACAGGTGCTTATTCAAAATATATTATGTGTTCCAGATATAGTTTTATTATAAGCTATTGTATGTACACTGCAAAATAAGATAGTTCTACTCAGTCATGATCACACTCAGAGATGAAAATCAGAATATTTATAGACAAAAAAATACCAACACTTCTATATCTTAATCTATTAATATTTGCAATTGCAAGTCACTATCTTTTGAGACACATTTAAATCAATTGAAATGAGTCAGACTTATTAGTGTAGAGACTCAAAAATGGATTAGAGTTTCTGGAATTGTACAGTCTGTGCAATTCCGTCTTTGCGTATTGCAGAGTTATCTTCTCTTGGGAGCAGGTATTGATTGTTACGTCACTTGTTTGTGAGAGTAACGTCATCAGTTTTTGAGAAAACGACGTAATTTTCTTACACAAACCAATGACGTAAAAATGAATCCCTGCTCCAAAGAGAAGATAACTCTGCAATATGCAAAGACGGAATACAATTCAAACCATCTGCTCCAAATGTAAATTGTTAAGTTGTAATTAAATGATTCTCATAATATCATTATACATGGGCATTCTTTTAATATATGGATATACATAATGCTATATCTCGAGCACTGATTATACCATAACTATTATTGTGACATTAGTACCAAAAGGAGGTCTGCAATATTAAGTGTAACTTAATGTACATGTATTTAATAACTTTTCTTCTGCTCAAATTTCTTAATATAGGTATAATGCATGATTATATGCATTTACATACATTTAAATAATGGAACAGGTTGGTTCTTCAATATTCATGCAAAGTTATATATTGACATATTTGCATTTGAATTACTCCAAATTTAATTTTTCTGTTATCTGTTAATGATTTATAGGCCATTTATCAAATTATTTGGATATTGTATCCTCGCACAAGGTTCATTTAAATTAACATCAGTCTTTTTGTTTTATATCCTTCACGATTTACCTTGATCGTCAGGACAATTGTTGATTACATTATTTTTAAATTAATGCTGAATCTTTGTTGTTCTTCCTCCTCAAGTAAAAATACAAATAAAATACCAAAGTGTCAGCCCACAATATATCAGAAATGAAAAACAAATTGGAAGGAAAGACAAAAAATAGGAATTGAGGAAATGACCCCAATGTTAGGATCAGGCCTGTTGGACAAGTACGCTGCTCCTGTTCAGATTGTGGAATGGTCATGAGCAAATATGAAAGCAACATGATATATTTTCAACATTTTATTTAAAAGAATCCCAATTTTCAAGTTATTATATCTTGCTTACTATTTTAATGTAACTATCCAACACTGCTGTATATATTGCAATATAATTTAGGTACTGTTGAATAGTTAGTTGCTTAGGCGAAACATGGGTTGTTAAGGAATATAATATATAAGTTGCTTGGTGGTATTCAAGCATGCTGCAAGATTCAAATTAAACAATTATTATGTTACAACTTTGGAAACTATTTTTAACATGTTATGGTACATATCGATCACTAAAATAGGCATATGCTGAATATGACAGGTGGGTTGCCAGGTATGTTGCTGGGCAACGCAATGTCGGAATTCTTTGAAACTGCATTTTTGATTAATGTCCCATGTTTATGTAATCCTGGTATAAAATTAAGGAAATCGAGGTTGGGGTCACAAAAGGCCCTTAATGCACCTGGTCCTTTATTGACAACGGATTGTTTAATGTCATAAGGATTTAGAAACAGGCTGTGATCCTTTGTAAATCCTCTCCCTATGTTTAAACACACAATTAGAGTTATCTTTCTTTGAATAGAAAATTCAGAATTTTGTAAATTTGTCTGGATGTTGTAGATATGTCTCCACATCCTAAAATGAAGAGGAATATAATTAGAAATGCCATTATATATGTTGTTCCTTAATGTATCTTGTATTCACTTTTTTGACGTTTCTCTCTTCATTAGCACCGTTTACATGAGGACGTAAAACCCTCACAGTAAGTCATAGCTAACTCCGATATATGGGCGAATTCAGCCTAAGTAGGGTCATTTGCGCAGTGAATTAAGCAAACAAAATACATATACCTTTTATTCAATGATAATATACAGGTACATAGCAATATCAATTTTCTAGATGGTGCAATTTTTAGACTTATCAACTGACTATAAAATATTAAAATGGAACCATTGCCAGTTATAACCTGTAGTTAGCCCGTTCATGTCAAAAACAGGTTAGTCTTAAAAAATCACTATTATTTATTCATGTACCTGTAAGCTTGTTACAGTTATCGCCCTTACTATGATACAAACAATATTTACGTTAGTGTGGGGTTTTTTCATGCACTTTTAATATACTTCTGAAATAAAAATACCAATAATTTGAAAGGTGTTACTTATCGTAGAGTAGAAATAATCAAGATAAATAACAAAAACAATTAGACATGGCATATCCATACGTAATGGCACATTTGGCAACCACAAAAATATTGGTAAGCATACGTGTGAAAAAAACTCTACAACTAAGATGCGCTCCTACCCCTTTCATTCATGATTCACTTAAGTATTAAACATTTTACAGTTTGTACAAATAGTAAGTAGTCCGAATAAAACACATATATATACACAACGGTTGGAAGATGGTTAAGAAATGCAGGAGATTATCGTGATGTTGATCAGTGGCCTAACATTAATAGTAAATATTAAGGACGTTAATGATTTAGTTAAGTAATACCGCTACCTATTACTTAGTTAAGTAATACCGCTACCTATTACTTAGTTAAGTAATACCGCTACCTATTACTTAGTTAAGTAATACCGCTACCTATTACATAGTTAAGTGATACCAATACCTATTACTCAATGCTACACTGTTTACCCAGGTACACGTACATGCAATGTTAATACTCGCAGTAATAAAGACCCTGGTTAAACAGAGAAAGTAACAAGAATATTGCTATCAACGTCCTAAAGATAACTACTTTTGACCGTTATAAATCTGAGAGTATTCACGAAAAAGGTATACTTAAATGTGTGTATTCCTACATTTTAGGAATTAAGATAAAAAACAATAATCCGTAGGAATATTAGAAATTTTGAATACGTGTAAAAACAAAGCATAGTGATACATTGTATATGTCGCAATTAACTGTGTACATACTCAGAATAAAATACCGATAGTACTGAGTGATGTGGATACGCAAACTGTCATCAATACGGATGTTTACATTGGTTTAATAAACGCTGTTATAAGCCACGAGTAAGATATAATAATCATAAACCTCTTTAAAGTTAATATAGTATGCTCCGATGATTATATAGTTAATGAATATATAAACCATTCTGCTTCTAAAATTACATGTTCCTATTTGTACGTCAGGGTTATTTTTAACAGTGGTAAACTTACTGGGTCACTGGCTAAATTACATGTACCTCACTGTATAGAAATAAAGGTTCAGAGTCTGACCCCAAAATATAGACCTATTAAAGTTGGAAGGTGTCGTTGCAACTTAATTGCCGTATTTTTTTAATGCAAAACTTTGAAAATATTCTGAAAAAATATAGCACTTTATACA